TGAGATTGAAGCAGTAATAAATTACCTACTAACTAAGAAAAGCCCAGGTGTGGATGGGTTCACTGTTGAATTCTACAAAAATTTCAGGGAAGTTCTAACACCAATACTCAAGATTTTTAATGAAATTGAAAGGGGATGAGTACTTCCAAGGTCATTCCTGGAAGCTACCATTACCCTGACTCCAAAACCCTTTAAGGATCAAACCAGAAAGGAGAACTCTCTCTAATGAATATGGATGCAACATTCCTCAACAAGATACTGGCAAACAGACTGCAACAAATCATCAGAAAGATCATACACCATGACAAAGCAAGCTTCATCTCAGGGATACAAGGATGGTTTGACATATACAAATCAATAAATGTAATGCATCACATAAGCAGAAACAAGGACAAAAACCATATGATCATCTCATTAGCTGAAGAAAAAGCCTTTGAAAAAAATCCAACATCCTTTCATTATAAAAACACTGAAGAAGCCAGGTGTGGTGGCGTACCCCTGTGAGTTTGAGGCCAGCCTGTGCTATGTAGTGAGTTCAAGGCCACCCTGAACTACATAGTGAGACCCTGTCTCAAAAAAAAAGAAACTGAAGAAAATAGGTATAGAATGACCTAATCTCAATTCGATAAAAGTCATATATGGAAAACCTACTACCAACATAGTATTAAATGGGGAAAGACTGAAAGCCTTCCCTTTAAAATCAGGAACAAGACAAGGTTGTCCACTATCACCACTCTTGTTCAACATAGTACTTGAAACATTGCCAAGAGCAATTAAGCAAGAAAAAGAAAAGTGGTATGAATAAGAAAGGAAGAAATCAAATTATCATTATTTGCAGGTGACACGATCCTATATGATTAAGATCCCCCCAAAAAATTCACAACCAAAAGACTCTTAGAATTAATAACCAAGTTCAGTAGTGTAGCAGGATACAAAATCAACACACAAAAATCAATAGCCTTCCTGTACAGTAATAATGAACCCACTGAGAAAGAAATTAGGAAAAAATACCATTCCCTATAGCACCGAGAAAAATTAAATACTTAAGGACTAACCCCACTAAGGAAGTGGAAGACCTCTACAGTGAAAGCTACAGGACTCTGAAAAAGGAAAATGAAGAAGACATTAGAAAATGGAAAGACATCCCTGTTTCTGGAGAGTCAGAACCAATATACTCAAAACAGCGACACTTCCAAAATTGATATACAGATTTAATGCAATCCCAATCAGAATCACAACAGCATACTTCACAGAACTGGAGAAAACAACTCTGAAATTCATATGAAACCAGAAGAGATCCAGAATAGCAAAATCAATCCTGGGTAAAAAGGGCAACTCAGGAGTCATCACTATCCCACACCTGAAATTATATTAAAAGCTACTGTGATAAAAAAACAGCACAGTACTCACACAAAAATAGATCTGGGGATCAAAGCAACAGAATAGAGGATGCAGGAACAACTCCAAGTACATTCAACTACTGCATTTGATTTTTGACAAACGGGCCAAAGCCATACAGAGGAAAAATAACCTCTTTAATAAACAGTATTGGGAAGCTGGGCATGGTGATGCATGCCTGTAATCCCAGCACTTGGAAGGCTGAGGCAGGTGGATCACCATGAGTTCAAGGCCAGAAACCCTGTCTCAAACAAAAGTGGTGTTAGGAAAACTGGCTATCCACTAAAATCAAAGAAGATCAAAGAACTAAATGTTAAAATAAAAAGTTAGCCTGATGGAAAAGAAAATAGGGAAAACTCTTGAAATTCTAGGCATAGGGAAGGATTTTCTGAACAGAACCCTTGTTGCACAGGAAATAGTCTGAAGAATCAACAAACAGATCATATCAAATTAAAAAGCTTCTGCACGGCAAAAGAAACAGCCAACAGAGTAAAAAGACAGTCTACAGAATGGGAAAAAATTTCTGCCAGTGATTTCTCAGACAAAAGACTCATCTAAAAAATATAAAGAAAACAAAAAACTTAGATTTCCCCAAAATAACACTCAATCAAAAACTGGGCAAGCAAAATGAATAGACACCTTACAGAAGAAGTCCAAATGGCCAATAAATACATGAAGAAATGCTCATCACTGGCCATTAAAGAAATCCAAATTAAAACTACCCTGAGATTCCATCTTACTCCAGAAAGAATGGCCATCACCAAGAAATCAAATAATAAATGCTGGCGAGGCTGCAGGGAGAAAAGAAACTCTTCCACATTGTCGGTGGGGATGCAACCTAGTACAACCACTATGGAAATCAGTGTGGAGATTCCTCACAAATCTGAAACTAGCAATTACATTTGACCCAGCTAATCCCCTTCTGACATCTTCCTGAAAGAATTAAAGACATCATATTACAATGGTATATGCATGTCCATATTTATAGCAGCACAATTCATAATAGCTAAATCTTGGAAGTGGTCTATATGTCCATCAACAGATGAATGGTTAAAAAATAGGTGGTATGTATATAAAATGGAGTACTACACTGCCATAAAGATAAACTTGAGTCATTTGTAGGAAAATGGATGTTCCTTGAGACCATAACGGTAATTAAATCAGATACAAAAGCTTAAATGTCACATGGTTTCTCTTATATGAGAAAACCAAAATATAAATAAAGAATAAAATATGAGATAATAGGAAGTAAGGAGACTCAGTGAATCTTTCTCAAAGGGCAAGAAAAGATGGAGGGATGAGGGAGGCAAGGGACTGGGGATAAAAAAGGATGTGTCACATACATGTACAAACTACACACAAGGAATATAAACATTATGCACTGCAAATGTGTACCAAAATTTAAAAAGGAAAGGGAACGAGAGATGGGTAGAGGAGGGTGGAAGGGAAGGGAAGAGGATGAAAAGAGGAATGAAGATGTGTTCTGTACATGTACTGACTCCTCACATGGAATGTAAACATTATGTACTACACACATGCACTAAAAAATAAGTTATATATTTATCATTTATTTTATTAAAATGATTTTTTAAAAGGAACCCAGAAAAAGGATAGAACAATTAGAGCAGAGATGAGACCAGGAAGCAAGCAAGATGGAGGAGATGAAAGAAAGAAGAAAGCCTGGAGAGAGGGCAGGTGGTGGCAGAGGTCACTAGGCGCTGAGAGTCATCACTGGAAAGAGACAATGCTCCCCAGGCTGCCTGGGCCCAACTGACTTCCTCACCTCTGCCTGTGTGGTGGACCTCCGGGTTTCCTTGGGGACAGGGGTGAGGAGGATGGGAGCAGGGAAGTCTTCAGGGATAACAAAAAAAAGAAGCACAAAGGAAGAAAATAAGCCAGGGACCCAGGCTCCCAGGCGCTCAACTGTGTTGGAGAGAAAGGCACCAAGAGGAGCTTGTGGAAGGGCTCTTAATAGCTTCATGCCACTTGGACACACACACACACACACCTGAGTTGGGATCCCACCTTGGGTCTCACCTGTGAGTGTGTGAGTGTGCCAATCGGGAGTAGGGTCTCAGTTATACTGCCCTGGAGTAGGAAGGTCAACCAAGGGGCTATAATTATTCCAAGGAACACCACACCCTGCCTGCAGAACTCAAAGGACAGATCTGCCTGGCTCCCTCCCACGGACACAGTGAGGGCCCCAAATAGCTTCCCCTAGAGGAACCATGGCCACTCACTGACGGGGAGGCATCTGAGGAGCTGCCACATTTGGATCCAGAGCCTCTGCTCGGTTCACCCAAGGGCCCCTTGGCCTTTCGGATCTTAGGAATCAACATAATCCCTTCGGACTCCCAAACCACCCCCTTGTGCCAAGGTCTGGAGAGCACAGGGACTTGGTGCAGGTCACAGGCTTGAGTGAGTAGTGGATGTCAGTTCTCCTCCTGGGTGGCTCTCTGATACTCCAGTGCATCCCTCTCCAGGACTGCTCCCTGAGCATGCCCTGAAGAGTTCCTCTGTTTCCCAACCTGCCCAAGGAGGGGAGGAGGGAGCTGGAGGTTTCCTGTCTGGGCTGCGAGTGAAAGGGCTGAAAGAGGAAAGGAGGACGGAGCAGCCAGCAGCCACAAAAAGCTTCAAAGGGCTCGGGCTTCTGCCAAATGGGCCATGCACAGTACAACCAAGTCTCAGCCAGGGCGCCAGCCCCGCCCCCGCCCTGTGGCCAAGGCCATTCATTCTCTCTCCCCATCCCAGGAGGGCTAGGAGGCCAGGGCATGAGAGGCAGCTTCCCTGAAACTCTGGGCCATGCCACCCAAGGCATGGGCTCTGGGAACATGTTCCTTCTCCTGCCACAGTCACAGCAGGCAGTGGGCAAAGCAGATCACCTCTTTCCTGCCATTCAGCCTGGGGCAGGACTTTGACTCAGATGTGGCTTCGCTGATCTCAGAGCAGGAAGGAAATGTAGACGGAAGCCTGGGCGTGGTGGTACTCAGGAGGTTGAGGCAGGAGGATCGCCACGAGTTCAAGGCAGGCCTGGGGTACATAATGAGTTCAAGGCCAGCCTGAACTACACAGCTAGATCCTGTCTCAAAAAGAAATGTACATGGGGAAACTGAGGCCCATAGAAGGCCAGAGAGTGGTGAAAGTAGAACTCAGTATCTACTTAGGTGATGAAATTTTCCTCTAGGTTCCTGACTGAGGTCAGAAGCCACCTTCACTTGGAAGAGGGCTTTGACTAAGGGAAGCGTCAGGGAAAGACAAGCGCTGGCAAAGTAGCATCTCGGGGGTGGAGGGCCGCCGGTTCTGCACTGGGTGGCTTCTGAGTCAGGCTGAGCCTATCGCTAGGGTCTGCTGGCTAAACTCTGTGCTCGCATCCAGGTCTCTGTGCTTGGCCCTGGAATCCGCGACCCCCAGGGTGGGTGCGCCCTCGGGTCACTGAGCCTCTCGGGGTTCTTTGCCGGGCAGCTCCCATTAGGCATCTGCAGCTCCGGAGTGCGCGCCCCCCGGGGGGAGCTGTCCCCGCCAGAGAGTCCGTGCGTTCCAGCTCATTGCTCCTAGTTCCGTGCCCGTTACTGGACACCGAGCTGCCCAGAGAAGCAACTGACCTTGGCGGGTATCAGAATGATGAGTGGCAGCAGCAGGAGCGGGCTGACGAACAAGATCACGAAGGACTTGAACTTGGAGATATAGCTCAGCGCCGAAGCCATCGCGCGGGAGGGAGACTAGCGGGGAAGAAGAATGAGCGGCAGCGAGAGGCTCCGCGGATTTAAGAAGGGGCTGCAGTCCCAGGGGATAAGGGGCGGAGACAACTCCGCCCCCCACGGCGGGCCTCCCCTCCCTGGGGCGGGGCCACTCCCTGGGTCGGTGGGACGCGCCAGCCCCGACTCCGCCACCCCGCGGCGAAGGGAGGCGTTTGGGGACTGGGATGCTTCGGACCAGCCCTCTCTCTGGGGGCGGCCTGCACTCCCTGCACCTCGTGACTCTCCAAGCCTTTCGGGACACAGCCTCACTCAGGGCTGCCGAGCGAGGCCTGGGAGCCTTTGGCTGTGCCCGCATCCTCACCTGCTCTTCCCCTGGCTCTGGAGGGGTCCCGGGTGAAGGTTCCACCGGCCTCTGGGTGTCTCAGTTCCATCTCCGGAACCTCTCTCCTTTTCATCTTCTTACTCCTGCCTCGTACCGCCTCGGTCTCTGGGAGGTCCCTCGGAGAAGCGGTGACTGCTACTCCGCGTCTGCCGCGCCACCGCCTCCGCTTCCCCGGGGCTGGTCTGGCTTCTCCGCCACGTTCGCCTTATTCTCTCGTCCTCTCCCGCCCAGCGCACCCCGGGCTTTCTCCGGGGACCGCAGAGGGAGGCGAGGCCACTGTCCTCCGGATGGCTTTCGCCCTCCCGCGGACACTCGCGCAGCCTGCCCCCTCCTGGCAGCCGCACTCTGCTGCTGCAGGCTCTAACCAAGTCGCTAGGGTCGTTCTAAGGAGCGGAATAGGAGTCTACAGAGGAAGGGGCATTACCAAGGCTACACCAAGAAACCCATTCATTCATACATTTTACGGCCACTATTCATTCAGCCCACCAGTCAAAACTACTGAGCACCTGTTTTCTGCTGAGTCTTATTTGAGGCACTAGAGACAGAAGGATGTCAAGGCACTGCCACCTCTATTACTTTCTTCTTTCTTCCTTGTCGTCTGTCTGCATGTCCTAGTCCGCAACTTTATTTTGAGCAGTCTTATCCATGCGTGTGGTGTAACTATAGCCTGCTTCTAGTGATTATATGCCACATGCCAGATCCCACATTTCCACACAGTCAGCCCTCCTGCCCATCAAAATGTTACCTTGTTGCTGATGTGTATCATGTACTGTTGGGAGCAGTGCTACATAATTCTAGGGGAAAAATCATTTGAGTAGGCCTAGTTCTCCTGCCTACAGCCCAGCTATGACATTCCAGACATAATTGCATTTTGGCCTCGGGTCACAACTGAGACCTCAGTGATCCGAAGATGCTATAATGCTCCAGGACAAGACCACACCTTCGGGAGATGCCAGGGAGGAACCAAATCTTCATCTACATAGTTCCTCATTGTTCTTAGATTTCCACCGCCCCGCAGCCTTTTGTTACACCTTGTTTATCCCAATGTGAAGTACTGAACTCTGCACTTTCACTTGTTACTTCTGTTTCCCCACGTACTGAATAAAAGGTGCTGCAAGCTAGGGGGGGGTTGTTTTTGGTGCCCAGAGCAGCACTGATCAGACCCAAAGCTCAGCTTCTCAGTCTCCTTCGTGTACCTTTCCTGTAATTCGCCGTGTGCTGCCGTGGCTCGCAGGAGACTAGGACTCACTGCAGAGGTTCTGGTAACGTTCCCTTCCCCTGTTCCCTACATTTGGCACCCAACGTGGATGTGAATCGGATCCACAAGTGAACTCGCCTGTGAGTCAAACTCGGAGTAAAAGAGACTGCACACGGATCTCCCAGGATGATTTCCAGACTCGGATGAGGGACACTGGTGGTAAGAGTGTCCAGCTGGGAGTAATTTTCTATTTTTGCTGAGTTATAACTATGGGACAGTCTCTGTCAACAGAGCAGCATAACTTTGCCAAATTACCTAAGTCTCTGTTAAATCAAGCTATGTACCCAGTACCTAAGGATGCTGTGATAGATTTGTTAAAAGACATACAAATGTACATCCCATCTTTTCCCCACGAAGGGACAACTAACTTAATATCATGGGAACGTGTAGGTACGGCTCTCTGTGAGGCCTGGCAAAGGGGTGATCGTCTCTTCCCTGAACGCTCCCCACTTGGGCCTTAGCCCACTCTGCTCAGAGGTCAGAGTTGCTAGCCATTTTATTTGTGATTGAAAACTTCCCTCCCTAACCTCTTAATATTTTAAGTGATTCCTCTTATGCAGTTTGGTTGACTCAAAGACTGGAAGGAGCTATGGTCTGCTCTACCTTAGAACCTAAATTATTAAACTTGTTTTTAAGATTACAAAAGGCCATGTGTCAAAAAATTGCTCCTGCTTTAATAACTTGGGGGAGAGGTTT